CCCACACCCCTGTGCATGTACACATGACTGCCCCGCACTACACGCCTCTGTGCATGTGCACGCAACCCCCCTGCACACCACATGCCTCTGCGCATGCATGCATGTCTCCCACACATGCATCTCCCATGGGCATGCGCGGCAGATACCCAACAATCAACTGCCTGGCAAGGGGCATGCGTGCATGTGCAATGGGGCTCTTCTGGGTGACCTCTCGTGTGCTGGCAAAAGTGGCTCTGCATACCACTTCCAGCACGCGTGCCAGTTGTGGGATTCAAATTTTTTTACTACCGGTTCTGTGGGCGTGGCTTGGTGGGCGTGGCAGGGGAAGGATACTGTCAAATCTCCAGTCAGAGGTGGGATTTGCCGGTTCTCCGAACTACTCAAAATTTCCGCTACCGGTTCTCCAGAACTGGTCAGAACCTGCTGAATACCACCTCTAATGCGTGCCATAGGTTTGCCATCACGGCTTTATGGGCATTTTGCGTTACACAGGAAAAAAATAGACTCATGATTTATGATTTTGATTATTAGATACAATAGAATAAGAAAATAAGAGAATCCCTATGTAGCTTTAGAGTAAGAGGAAGATCTACAATTGTAATTATAACTCCTGTAAAAGATTGGAAACCACTTTTCATTATCTTTTTCCTTCCTTTTCTGTTTTTCTTGTATCTTTTTTCTTTTTGAACTTTAGCTTTCTTTTTTATTCATTTATTTTTCTTTTTTCTTTCTTACTCTACTTGACTTTGTACTGATTTTTGCTCTTTTGTTAAAACTTTTATTATTATTATTATTATTATTATTATTATTATTATTATTATTATTATTATTAAAAGGAATTAAATCCTATTTAAATGGCAAGATCACTAGACATATAATGGACACATTATCTCTCCGCATGGTCAATATTGCTGCATGGCAAAGACTCAGAATGCATTGCATTTTTAATCACATAATGCTATATTTTTAATGTTGCAAATCTTACATTGTAAATACTGCCCATTTCTGGAGCCATTGGATCAGAATATGCTAACATACTTCTTCACTGGGTGATTGTAAGACTCCACTCTGCATGGAGCTGCGTTGCGAAAATCTCCCTGGCTATCTAGATGGACAGCATATAAATTTAATAAGTAAAATAACAGTGCTCAGAACGTCCTAGTAGTTCAGACCCCTGCAGCCACTTTACTGATAGGTGCCTCTACTTAGAAGGAATTACTTCCTGGTTAAAGCAGTTCCACCAGCTATCAAGTATGTTTCTAGGCCTATTTCACACTCTTGATGATAACCTATTAAGCTGGAGGTGGCTTGCATTCACACCATTCCATAAACCCTGCTGCCCTTTAGAAGCCTGCCCTGGCTTGAGAACTTATTCTCAATCTTGCCTCCATCAAAAGTAGCCTCTCTCATCCATTCCTTGGTTCTAACCACAGCCAGAGCACAACTGATGGAAACCTGGAGGAGGAGGAGGAGGGGACCACAAAGCTTTTCCAATGGTCTGTGATACTCTTTGCCCTAGGAAAGCTGGTTAGGGTACCCCTGGGTGGTCTTTCACAATGTCATAAATAGCTTTTGGGGGTTTGTTTTTATTCTCTGAACGTGCAAATTTTAACTCATGCCTATTTTAGCTGATGAATTTCCCCCCTCTTTATTGTACAGGTAGTCCTCGACTTACAGCGGCTTATTTAATGACTAAAGTTACAACAAAAGGGACCTAGGATGACCAGCCTTCCCATGGTCACATGATCAAAACCCAAATGCTTGGCAACTGACTCAGATTTATGACAGTTGCAATGTCCCAGGATCGTATGATCAACTTTTGCAACCTTCTGACAAGCAAAGTCAATGGGGAAGGCAGAATTCACTGAACAAATGTCTCACTTAACAACAGAAATTTTTAAGCTCAATTGTGCTAAGTTGAATACATCTTTACCATGTATTTTTGTTTAGGAATTCAAGGAAACCTAGCTAGCCCTTTTTATTTTTGTAGCTTTGTGTGTGATGGGCAGACACCAAAGGGATACGGTATACAAACAGGTGTATATATGCATGTTGGTACGTGTATAAATAATCTTCACTTCACTTCCTTCCTTCTTTCCTGGAGTGCCCAGGTCATCTTTTTTAGAATTATCTCTTTCAAGGGGAGATGAGAAACAAGCATTTCTACTTCAAACGGAAAAGCCTCTTTTACCCAAGGAGGGGAATGGCCTTGTAGCTGAAAATCAGAATTCCTGCTTGGCATTGCAGAAAGTCCCAGGTTCAAATCCCGGGGATTTCTAGTTTAAAAGATCCTGAAAAGGACCAGACCAGGAGAGCAGGAATACTAAAAGTGCTTTCAGACATTTAGTCCAGAGAGAAGCTTGAGGCCAAGATGGTCCCCTTTAAGGCTCTGGAACAAAGGTGGGAGTCATCATAATGCCAGTATATGATTCACTCTCGCCTCCCACTCCATCCTGCTAGGGCCAGTGGTGGATAACTTTTTCAGCTCCCGTGCTGATAATTGCGTGCGCGCTCGCTTGCGTGCCAGCACCCAGAAGGCAATTCGTGCTGGTCCCCCCACGCCCCCTGCCTATGCGCGCACCCCCCTCGCGCCCCGGGTGTCTGCACATGCATGCGAGATTTCCCCCTTGCACACTGCGTGGCTGCACATTCACGTGTGATTCCCCCCTTGTGCACTTTGCATCTTTGCGCATGCGTGCGTGATTCTCCCTGCGCATGCGCACACATCTCCTGCGCACTCCCCCTCCATCCCCTGTGCATGCATGCCAGATGCCCAACAATCCGCTGTCGGAAGGCGGTGCACAAGCGCATGCGCAGTGGGGCTTTTCCGGGCGACCTCTCATGTGCCGGGGGAAATAGCTCTGCGTGCCACTTCCGGCACGCCTGGCATAGGTTTGCCAACACGGTGCTAGGCTGTTCCCTATAGTATTGGCTAGGAGCCTTGTGCCATTTCTGCAAGCTGCAGTGGGAGGAGTGGGTGACCGGCAAAGCTTTGGACTCTGGCCTTGAGCGCCTCGGTGCTTGCAGAGAGACTGGTCTGTTATCTGTTACACTTTGTTCTCCTGTCTGTTTGGGTGTGGAGCAGCTGCAGCACATGGAGGAGTTATATCTGGAAACCTTTGAAACGTGGGCAGCCAGCAGGATTCTGGGCTCTCTCTGTCCAGGATTTGGGGAGGTGGGGGTGGAGTTGGGCCTTGGGCCTTGGTCCCTGTGCCTGGATGCTACAGAGTACCTGTTCTCACCCTTCTGGTCCTGCTGGAGAAAAACAATTTCTTAGCATTTATTGGTGGAGAGGGGTGCGTGTGTGTGTGTGTGTGTGTGTGTGTGTGTGTGTGTGTGTGTGTGTAGCACTTAGAATAGAATAACAGAGTTGGAAGGGACCTTGGAGGTCTTCTAGTCCAACCCCCTGCTCAGGCAGGAAGCTCTATGCCATTTCAGACAAATGGTTATCCAACATCTTTTTTAAAACTTCCAGTGTTAGAGCATTTACAACTTCTGGAGGCAAGTTGTTCCACTGATTAATTGTTCTAACTGTCAGGAAAGTGACAGTTGTAACTTTCTCCTTAGTTCTAGATTGCTTCTCTCCTTGATTAGTTTCCACCCACTGCTTCTTGTCCTGCTCTCAGGTGCTTTGGAGAATAGCTTGGCTCCCTCCTCTTTGTGGCAGCCCCTGAGATATTGGAACACTGCCGTCATGTCTCCCCTAGTCCTTCTTTTCATTATATTAGGCATACCCAGTTCCTGCAACCGTTCTTCATATATTTTAGCCTCCAGTCCCTTTGTTGCTCTTTTCTGCACTCTTTCTAGAGCAGGTGTGTCAAACTCAAGGCCCGGGGGCCAGATCTGGCATACGGGGTACTTAGATCTGGCCTGCGGGACCACTCTGGAAACAGCAAAGGACCAGCCCACGGTGATTCTGCCAGCGAAAACTGGCTCCTGAGCTCTGTTTTCACTGGCAGAGGGTTGCAGGAGGCTACGGCAGCCGAAAAGGGAGCTTGGGAGCCCATTTTCACTGGCAGACCGCTCGGGCCACCACAGGCACCCCTGACACGAGTGACATCGAGCTGGCCACTCCTACCCTAGCCACGCCCACCCCGGCTCACCAAGGTCAAACATAACCCTGATGCGGCCCTCAATAAAATCGAGTTTGACACCCCCGTTCTAGAGTCTCAACATCTTTTTTTATATCGTGGTGACCAAAACTGGATGCAGAGTTCCAAGGGTGGCCTTATCAAGGCATTATAAAGCTCCTGCTCTCAACACAACAGTCCTCTTTCTGAAAACGGAGGAGCGAGGCACTTCTCGAGCTAAGCTTTTAGTACCATTTCTATATTAGAAGTGGGAAGTGGTCAAAATTCAGATGCTTAGCAACTGACTCATATTTATGACGGTTGCAACATCCTGGGGTCATGTGATCGCCTTTTGCAACCTTCTGACAAGTTAATGGGGAAGCCAGATTCACTTAACAGCCATGTTACGAACTTAACAACCGTGGCAAGAAGAGTCGTAAAAATGGGGCAAAACTCGCTTCACTGTCTCACTTAGCAACAGAAATCTTGGGTTCAATCGTGGTTGTAAGTCAAGGACTACCTGTAAACAAAAGAAGCTATTTTATATTCTGTTTTATTCTCGGGTCCCCTTTTTTTCTACTTTGACTGGCAGCCTCCTCTTCAAAGATTGGACGCCCTCAAAGGCTAATTCCCTCCTCTAGGTACCAAAGTTCTTTGTAAGTGAAAAATAACAGGGCACCCATTGCGTGCGGAGTACAGGTGTTCCATGGAATTAGGGCCCATACCTGATCTTGACCTTTTACGTACAGTATTGCAAAATCACTCCTGAATTGCCCTTCATATTATAGACGCTGGTACTATAGCAATGCTGCCAGCAAGGTTTCAGCAAGCACATTTTTTTTAGGTGAAATGTAGTGTGCTTATTTCCTGTGTTCTATAATCACATTTGTAGCCTCCACCCTGCACACTATCTCCTCTTTTGTTTTTCAGACTTTGCCCCAAGCCTGCTGCCTGGGAGATGGACGCTTGTTCACTTCTAACCTAAAATCGCTCTATTTGGCAGTAACCCAGCAACAAGCCAGAGCTGCTTGCAAACGGCACCAGGCAGGTGAGTGGATCCAGTGTGGGAAGGGTGTGTCTGCTGTGCCATCATCCCTTTAGAACAATGGTCTCCAACCTTGGCAACTTTAAGACTTGTGGACTTCAATTCCCAGAATTCCTCAGCCAGCAAAGCAAAGGTGGCCCAAAAAATACGAATAGATTAAGATTTTTTTGTAAGGATATTCTGTTTTATGAAATACATCTTGCTTCTTTGCACAGTGTAAGTTACTTTTTGCAAAAGTTCCGCTTATTGGGTTGAGTAGTACAAAATCAAGCACGAATTTCCAAGTAGTTTAAGGATTATTTGGGAATCTTTTCCAAATTCAGTTCATGTCTGTGACTGTTGTCAACAAATGCGTTCCTCTAGCTTTAGATTTTGTCATTACATCCCCAACAGTTAGTGCCAGAGAAGACATCTAGCTGAGGAATTCTGGGAGTTGAAGTCCACAAGTCTTAAAGTTGCCAAGGTTGGAGACCCCTGTTTTAGAAGGCAAGCCTACTTATCTCAAATGACCAGAAGTAAATTAATTCAGTTGATTTTGTGCTGTTATCTGGCTAAGAGAAAGTCATCTTTCAAGAGAACCAAACAACCTTTGAGGCTCCTAGTTTTCTCCTTCCTGGATTCCCTTACCATTTCTTCATGCAATTTCTGTTTACAATATCTTGATGGTACACAGTATTCTGGCTCAGGGTCAGCTAATTTAACATCTTTCAGATTATGATGATTGTAATTCCAAACAATGGAGCCCACCAAGCTGCTTGTCTTCGCTTAAACCACTGTAATTACTGCTTTGATGGCCTTCAACTTAGCCTACCATGAAGTTCCCTCTGCCATGACAATATTTTGTTGCCGTGTGTGTATGTCTCCAGATCTTTCTTGCTTTTGCTATTTTACCATTTTGGCTTGTCCATGTGATGTACAGTCTTGGTTAGGATGCTTAAGAATTTTATTCGGTATATGTTTGAAAGCAGCCAGGCTTGATTTTCATCACCGGAACCAGTGTATGAATCGGAATGCAAATAATACTACTAGTAGTTCCACATTGCTATGGATTTTGCAATGCAGCTTTTGTGATTTAACTTTAAAAATGTCTCCTTCTATTCGAGCTCAGTTCTTGGTGAAATGTGAACAACAAAAATTGAAATGTTTTTCAATCATTTTAAACAAATTTTGTTGAATTGCCTTGTGGTGAGTTGTCCTGTGGCAAGTTGGGCCCTTCTGTCTTGAGGGAGTAGCCTTGAAATTAAAAGGTTAAGGATAACCCTGCACAAAGCCTCTCTGCGGTCCAAGTCTTAAGATACCTCTGTTTTTACACTTGTTGAGAGGGTGATGTTTCTGCAAGACTCTCGTTATCTCAACCCTTCCCAGACTTGGTTCTGGTAATCCTGGGACAGAATCTACCATAGTTTTGCAGCTGACCTACTGCAAAAGAGAGATGGGGGCGCGTTGATCTCTTGACCACTGATAGTGCTGGCATGAGGACCCTGTGTTTCAATAAATGAATCTCCCTCTGCATTTTGGCCATTGTGTGTTGCCACAAGGCACTATGTTTGTCTCCAATGTTATTTAACAGCTACTGTATATGAAGCCACCAAAAGTATTTTTTTTTCTTTTATCAAAGCGGTCAATTTAGTAGCCATCTCTGCTAAGTCCATTAGCTTTTGCAACCATTCATCCATTGTAGGGATCAGAGTGTCCTTCCATTTTTGTGCATAAAGTAATTTTGCTGCTGTCAACATACATAAATAACATCAAAGTTCCAAATTTTTTCCAAGTCTTTTTCCATTAAATCCAAAAGAAAAGTTTCTGGTTTCATCTTTATATTGACTTTAAGAATCATCTGTATTAGAATATGAACCCTTGGCTTTAGAATATTAGAATATTTCTTTGCTTTATCCACCATAAATAATAGGAAGTCCCTTCTTTACATTTGCATTTCCAACATTCATTTGAAGTTCCTTTATACATTCTTGATAACTTACCTGGTTATAATTTCTATACTCTTGATACTTTAACCAAGGCACGATATTGCCCCACACCACCATTTGTTATCTTCTTCCTTTGACAGAACCAGAAGACCCTGGATCCCTTAACCATGCTGCTACCCAGGACCCTACAGAAAAGTCGATAGATTTGCCAGTGACGGAAGAAAAGACAGAGACTCAACTGCCATCTGCACAGCATTTGGAAGAAGCAACGGTGGGTCCCCGATCACTAGATACACGTAGGAAGGGGGTCCTCAAAGGGTTAGTTGTAACTTGGAGAACCATATATCCTCTTTCCACGATGAGATCAACTCTGCTTCTTAATCCTCTTTCAAGAGCCCTCTTGAAAGAATCCATAGTAATCTCTTCTATTGCTTATGCATGTGAAGTTCTAACCCCATGGAGGCATCTTTGTGTCTGAAATGTGTGGGTGCCATTGATATTTTCTAACTAGTCTTCTCTACCACCACTGCTTGCTGTTGACTGCTATTTACATTCCAGAGAAACGGCACATTCCAGGTCTCAGCTGTGGAAGTCAGTGTGAAACGATGAAATCTTATTTGGTTACATTTGGTTGACTTTACTCCTCTTTATTTGGATTGGCTGGTTGACTTACTAATTCTGATCAGTGGCTCTTCTTCCCAGGTCCCATCTTCCCAAGCCCAGAAAGCACAAATGCCTGTTGTCAAGACTAAAAGGAAGAAGGCGAAAGGGCTGTTTGGCTGATGCAACTGATCACTTTACATAGACAGGGGTGCTGATGCAGTTTTGAACTCCCCTTTGTCTTCCTGGAATGTCTAGAGAGAGAAAAAAAAACTGGACTTCATATTGAAGCTCACAATTGTATCCCTCCACTCCTTTTGCCATGTTAAACATGTTAAATTTGTCCAAGGGAACCTCTCCTTCTGCACCAGAGCTATCTATTTTTTTTAACCCCTGCTTATTCTTTCCTGCTGACCCAGAATCTTAGAAATGATGGATTATTACTATTGGGTAGAAGGAAAGAAGCAGAACTGCATCCTGTACTTTGCTTTGTTAAAGCTTGGCTACAAGTTGATTACTCGGTGCAGTGATTTCCACATAAGCACTTTGTAATACAAAGGGTATCCTTAAAAGGGTTCTGTGAAATTACAATTGGTGAAAAATGTGTCGATTTCTTTATTTTAATTGGTGCTCAGGAAATTACAGAGTATGTGGCAGCCAGGCTGCTGACTGGCATAAGGTTCAGAAATGATGATTCCTGTTCTGAAAGGGCTGGTCTGTCTGCCAATTCCCTACTGAACACAATTTAAATATGGGAGTTGATCTCTCAATGGTTATTTCTGTGGCTGCCTCTTCCCCTATGAACCTGTTCAGTTACTCCCTTCTAGTACTTTGCTATCTTGCTATGCAGGATTCACTTCTCCTGCCTTGCTTCAAGGCTTTGGATAATTATCTCAAGGTGATGGACGTGACCTCCCATTATTTCAGTATTTAGGACATGGCCAAAGATACCTCTTTAACCAAGGTTGGAGTTACTAATTGATTTTAATTATAAATAGTTTCGATTTTAATTGCATTGATTTTACTGTTGTGTTTCATATTTATATCTTGTCCTTGAATACATGTGTATGTGCTCTATCTTAAAATAATACAGGATTTCATGCCCTAAGAAAAGCCTACCCTAACTCACTGCAATGCAAACTTACTATGGGGATTGATGGGATATCTACAAAAATATGCCAAGCAACAAGATTCATAAAAGGGTCTAATCAAATTGTGCCAGAAAATCTAGAGATGCTCTTCAGGTCTTCCTCGGTAGCATGTTGAATGCCATCTAACCTGAGAGGCTAGTTTGGTCTATTGGTTAAGGCACCGGGCTAGAAAGCAGGACACTGTGAGTTCAAGTCCCATCTGAGCCATGGAAACCAGCTGAGTGACTTTGGGCCAAGTCATTCTCTCTCAGCTCAACACACCTCACAGAATTTATTGTTGTTGTGAAAGGGGAGGAGGAAGGCGTGTTGGATATGTTAGTCCAGAGTTTCCCCAACCTTTTCGGCTTTGCAGGCCAGCGGGGGCAGGGCAGGAGGGGGATGGTTCCGCATATGCTTGTCCACTACTCACACAAGTGAGGATGCATGTACGTGCTTGCCCACTTCCACCGCCCAGTTCCAAAAGGCTCAAGGCCTGGTAGTGGGCTGTGGCCTGGCAGTTGAGGATCCCTGTGTTAGTTGACTTGAGATATTTGTAAAAATAATAAAGGTGAAATACAAATAAATTAAATAAAAACATGCAGCACCACTTTATATTTCTTTATATTGTCTGTCCGTGTGGTTTTCTTAATCAAATACAGGAATGGTTGCCTCTGCTTTCTGTCACGCCATATGGATGGTGCCTTTGTTGTTTTCACTGAAGTGACCAATTGCCTCCAGCATCTTCCTCTGTTGCTGCTGCCCAGTGCAGATAGCTGCTTGCCTTGACTGGGCCCCAGGGATGACCTTCCCGCTAGGAAACATATACTCTTGACATACGTATCTAATGTTCTTTCATCCCTTCCAAGAACACCCATCATCACCACGATGAGGCAACACAATAGGACTTCAGGGGGTCAAAAGAAACGGCACACCTCTTTTGCATTTATTTTTTTTTGAAAGCTCCCATACAACCCAAAAGACGAAAAGAGAAACTAAGTAAAAATATTTCTCACCACCAGTGATGTTGCTGCTTTCTCAGGACACTTTAGAACTGCAAGCTGACTACCTTCTAGTCAACCTTTCCTAAAAATTGGTCCAGGTCTTTTGGATCAAGCAATGGCTTCTTCGGAAGGGGGGCAAACTCTTGCCTCTTTCAGAGCTAGTAGGATCAGCCTTCTCTCAGTCAAGAAAAGGGGATGGATCTAGAACGCAGGTGGACACATTAACAACTCCTGGGATCCTGTCCACTTCCTCGGGATAGTAAGATTGAACTCCTCCGAGATAACTGTAGGTAAAGTGGTATCTCAATTCCATAGGACCTTTACAATGAGTCCTAAGCCAGTGTGAATCTGAGCAATTCTATCCATCAGGTGCCAAGAACAGTCCTTGCAAATGATCCCTTGCCTTTTTTTTTTCCCCAAGAAAGTTCATGTCACACTGCACAGGGCTGCTGGCCAGTGCTCCAAGGATGTAGTAAGCAGGGAAAGATTTAAGTTGAGAAAGTAATTGGCCCAATTCTGTGAGTTTTCAGGGCTTAGAAAGTTTTTGACCATCTGTCTCCCAATCCCAGTCCAAGAGTTTAATCACTACACCACATTAGTTTTGACGACCGAAGATTCTAAGAGGAAGCAAAGGTACTTTATTGTAACTGCAGGGGGAAGTTTCTAACTTTTTAACCACACGTAACTGCTTCCAAGATCAAAGGACAGATTAAAAACTGGCTGCTCTGGCCAGGGGAGTTACAGACTGTCCTTGCTAACTGGAAACCCACACCCACAAGAGAAAGAGGGGGGGGGGAGAAAAAGGAAAGAAAAAGAGGGGAAAAAAGGAAGGAAGGAAGGAAGGAAGGAAGGAAGGAAGGAAGGAAGGAAGGAAGGAAGGAAGGAAGGAAAGAAAGAAAGAAAGAAAGAAAGAATAAAAGAAAAAGGGAGGAAGAAGAAGGAAGGAGGGAAGGAAGGAAGGAAGGAAGGAAAAGATTTGTAGAGCAAGTGATGTCCAACTATTAGCTATTCCTCAAATTCTTTCTGCCAACTGGACTTTTAGGTGCAAGACTGTCCCACTGAGCCATTCCCAATGGCCACAGAAGCATTCACATGACATTCATTCCACTGACCTTAGTCATGTTTAGCTGGAATAGCACGTAACTCTTGCGTGCTAACAAGAGATTAGGAAAGTCTAGTGGAGTGGGGATGGAACTGAGGCAGGGAAAATTCTCTATTCTTTTAGGCATCCACAGATTGTAGGTGTAATAAAGCATCAGGTGCAGCTGGTGGTTCACCTGGCTGCTGGCATGGGTGAGAGAAGTGAATGGCGAGTGGATTCTGTAACCAGCCCTTTGCTCTTTGCAGTGTGGTTTAATGTGGGTTGTGTGAATCTATCAAAGTCATAATATTTTGTTCCTTCAAGGCAAGTTCCTCCTAGACATTCTGAATGACCACTCTACAAAAGACCGACCCTCAGGCATACACACACACACATACACACACAGACGCTCTCTGGGGCCATAGCAGACTGTTTTGCTGAGCTTTCTTTTTATCATGTTGTGAAGGCAGTAACAAAACCATCCCACCACAATCCTAACTGTCTTCGTGGGGAATGAAATCCTCTTTCATGGCTGTATCTTTCCAATCCCAAAATTCAAGGACGAAAATTGATCGTTTTATATTGCCTCGGCCTGCCTTGAACGCATAAGAGACAGCAATGTCTGAGGAAGGGGAGACGTGGTTATTCACTAGGTTCTCTTCCACTAAACTAGGATCCATTTCGGAAATACTCATACCTTGCTTGGTTTTTTGTCCCTGGTTCAGTAGCAGCCAACCACTTGAGTTTACTCAGAAATTCAAATAAGTGATTCATGAGATGAAGTAGATAGCCAGCTGGATTAGTATTGTGTGTCCCTCGGTTACTTTGTCTCCTGTTGCCCTGATGGGTATGGATATGCACCCACCCAATCCTTCTTGAGTGACTTCTTTCTCATTTAGTTTGGATGGCACACTTTGGCAACATAAATATCCTTTTTATCTGGCTTTGTATCTTAATATTTCTGATTCCTTATCCTCACTTTTTTTCCATGCGGCTTTTGGAGGCATAAAGTGGTATCCAGTATGAAGGAAAAACAGGCCAATTAATCTTAGGGTCCAATCTGGTAGCCAGATAATACCTTTCAGCCCCAATTATGGCAAATTTCTTAAGAGTGAAACCAAATTAAATAGCGTAAAGGAAAGGAAACCATAGCACAGGGAGGGAAATTTCAACATTCAAGCTGCTTTAGTCTTGCAATGCCATTCTTTCATCAGAATAATAGTTGCGTTGATTCCATAGACAAGAACACCACATTTCTCTTAACATTTCATATTCAGACCCCCTAACTCTCCTTGAGACCAGCAATGAGATTTTTCACTATCTTTCCCACTTTGAATTTAATTAGAGCATCTGCATGATAGGAATACTTTTAATTTACTTAATTAAAAGTCAATTATCCCAATTATCTGGCTTCACATAATCTTGAATCAAAACCAGGACTGCTTTGCACAATATACCAATAATCAGCTGGTCCACTATTCAAAATGTTGTGTGAACACTGGAAGAAAATGAAGTGCAGGGGATAATGTACCTTTACCTACCCATTATGACAAATTATGTATATTGTTCATTCCTAAGGTTATGATGGGGTTCTGCTAACTATTGGCTGAACTTTACTTATCCATTCTTTTTGCATTTGTTCCAGTCAGTGTCATATTGTTTTCCTTTTACAATGCAACTTTCTAAATGATGTTACTGGCTGTAACATGTAAACAAGATAAACTTTGCAAGAGCTGCACTTAAGGTAGGTAAGATAACTTTACAAGACGTCAGATAAGAATAACCCTTGCCAGGCGAAGGAATCCATAACAAGGTTACTGTTCAGCCTTGAAATATGCCACAGGGAAGTACATGGGTGTTTTTTTCTTCGGATGTATAATTTCTAAGAATCTGAATGTATTCAAATACTTAAAGTAATTTTGTTAGATTAGATGATTAAGATTTGGACTGATGGAAACAGGGTAAAGGGAATTGGCACAGAGCTTTCTAGGCCAAAGGAAAGGACTCATTCTAGATTGCCAGAAATTGCCAGGGTTATTTTTTTTTATT